TCTGGTAATATCTTTGTAAATGCACTGGTTTGCTCTGACAACGCAGCTAAATTTAATAAGCACCGTAAACAGTCTTCTCTATAAATTGCCTGATATTGGGAAATTTGCATTAGGTCGTTCAGGAAAAAACATGTTTGTTGGGTATTTTGAGAGGTTTGTAATAATAGTGGCAGTTTTTTCGTGGTTTATAATGATGCCGAAACAAGATAATGTTGTTTGCATTCACTGCTGATCGTCGCTGACGTTTGAAAAAAATCGTCTTTCTTAGGTAAGATTCTTTTTTCATTTTGTCATTTTATTGATATAGGAAATATTATATTAGAAGATAACAGTATTTCTTGTTTATTGACAATTAATAAACTATTTTAATCTAAAAATTGAAATGTTATCATTTTAACAGATTAAATAAATGAACATTAAAATCGTTTCAAGCATTATGGTTTTGCTTTTCAAGCGTGTATTTTCATCACTGTTTTTATTACATTTTTTAAACACAGTCAATTTTAAACTAAACCATATGCTTTTTTGCATATCATACATAAATAACTTGAAATCTATTTTTTTGCATTTATTCATTTAGACCCTTATTTTAGCGGATGTCAAATCATAAACTTTTCAATTCTTAGAATCTGAAACAAATAAATCGGCATTTAGTTTCGACTTTTTTTAACTCAGCAATTATTAAAACTAATATTATAAAGAATTTTTTCATATTTTGAGAATAAATCTTAAAAATTTTATAAAATACGTTGAATAAAATTTTTAAATAATCTTTACTGCCATTCCAAGCCACAGTTTATCAATTCAACCGTTGGCGGTAGTTATTAAATGCATGATGCATTGTATCAAAATTTCATTCTCGGCCACCAATACCTTCAATAAAATCAAAAATTATGCGTCATAGTTCTTATTTTATCTAACTTACTGACATTATTACATTTTAAAAATTTTTTGCTTTATAATTTTTGATCATTTCTAAATTCAACTGCGGCCGAAAATTCAGCAGTAACGTAATAAAACCCCTGAAAAGATATTTTAGATTCGGCGGCAATAAAAACATAAATACAAGAAAAAAATAATTTCAATGAGGAACGAGAAAAAGTCGTAAAAATTTGTAATTTAATTAATTTTTTAAAAGTCAAAATTAAATTTGTCAAAAATCTAATCTAATAAGGTTAAAATAATAAAGGCAGACCAAAAATATAGATGAACGTTAATTAAGAACTTTTTCGAAAAGTTTTTAGAAAATTATAAACAACAGAGAGGAAACATATAAAATGGTTTCAAAATATTTATTTCAACTGAAAAGTTGTTTAAAATATGACATAGATGGAAAAGCTCAGAGCAAGTTCTGTTGTCATTAGGAAACCATTCGTGTTTGTAGTCATTTCAAAAGCGTTAATAAAAGATTGGTAGAATAATATGGCAGAAAAAAAGATGCAAACACAATCGGAACATAGGAGCAGCTAAAACTTCATAATTGTTTAGGTTTATAACAGACGCATTACAATATAAAAGTTAAAGTTTTTAATCACAAGTATCGGCATGAAACGTGAAAATCAAAATGAGAGTTGCGGAATAATTAATGAATATTTCATTTGCAGGGAAATGTAATAAAAATGATTTGTCGTTTAAAGTGATGGACGATGGCCAAATGGTTTTTTAATACGTGTCTTAAGTAGAAAAGTGAATCCTTAAAAATTGATGCTTGATGAGATGACGCAAATAAATCTTCTGCTGCTGATGTAAAACTTTTAAATATATTTCGTAACAATTCAAACTTTCCATATTCCACATTGCACCTTTTCTGTTCATTATTTCTAAGGAAGATGAAACAAAAAAATTAAAGTTCAAAAAACAGATAATTATGCAAAAGAATCAATACTTTTATTAATCAATTACACTCAGTTTGAATTAATTTTCTACTAAGCCAAATTATTATTTTAATTTTTTAAATTTGCAGTTTAATTTAACAAAACGTTTAATTGAGAAATTATTTAATGGTCACTTTTTTTAGGCTCATGTAAGGTTTTTAATTAAACTGTTCAAATATTTATCAAACGCTTACAATTCTTTTACAAATTATATTAATTATTGTCTGGTGTTTCTCAGATATGATCATGTGTCAGTTCACTTTCTTTTGTTTCTTATGGACAACATACCTATGAATTTCTCAATTCAAAATGTTGTCAGCAGATTTTTGAGGATAACCATAGACGTGTAGGTGGACGATAGGCGTGCGGTAGGAGTAGCAACTTTTCCAACTAACTAAGACACAGGAACGTTGAAGAGATTAATTTAACACATAGGAATGAATTATTTGTAGAGTGTTGAATGTGGTGTGGTGTATGCAATTCATAATCATACTTCATAGGGTTGAGTGAGAATATTTGAACTGCAAAATCTCATTTAAAATTAAATTTGAAATTATTTCATTAATGTAACATTCAGATGAACGTAATGTTTCTACTGGAGATTAAAATATTTTCACGCAGGAACCCACACAAACATTTTCAAACGCAACTTATTTCCTTGCAAATTCAATTTAGAAGCACTAGCAATATAACAATAATGAATGCAAATACACAAACCGCAAATATATGAAATCTTATTTTTTCTTATCTTCTAATAATTAAAAAGTGAGATAAGAACTGTTTGGTTGACTGACGTTTTGAATTTTCTCTGATATTATCTATGTTCTCTCTTATGTTATCTATCAAGCAATTCAATATCATTCGTTTATTCCTTTTTATATATTTTATTAACTTCTTCAACAGTTGATGGCCATTTTTTTTAATATAACTCCGATCAAAAATGTGTTGGAATCGTTATAGTAAAAATATTTACAAGTAAACTTTTGCATTTCGTTGTACGTGTGCTGTTTAAAAAATTGAAAACCCTCTCATATCTTAATTGAAGAAAGTACATCATCCAGAAAAATTGTTGTAAAAAAATTAATAGCACTTCATGCTGTTTATTTACGGACCGGTATTAATTAGTTTTTTTCAGAACGTTATCGCTTGCTGTAATGTAGATGTACGTCAGCATATATTTACTCACTGCAAGGGCGAGCCATTATCATGGACATTATGTTAGTCATTGACGGCAGGAGATTGCTTTCCGATTTACGACTGCATGCTTTAAAAGTTGCTGCAACTGCTGCTGCTGCTACTGTGAAAACCTGTTGTCAGTGCAGGGTTCTGAACTGCTGACAAGCCTATTCACTGACTGATGGTCTTTTTTATAAATATTTTAACAAAAGGAATACCTAAATCTAAAACTTCTTTGCGGTTTTTTAATTCAAAGTCATAAAATATTATTTCATCAGCAGTTTGAGTTTCTACACTTCGTATACTAATTGCTTCAAATCCTTTTCAACTATCTTCGTCACCTGAACGAGCATACATTGCGATCAACGTCTTCGTCAAATTAGCACCTCGTCTGTACGAACACTTTACACGCTGCAACAATCACTTCTCCATAAATTCATTCCAAATCGTTTTTAAATGTTGACAATAATTTTTTATGCCAATGTTTTTAATGTACGGAATGTTAACATGCAATTTAACTCAGTTAAACCTTTACAGCATTTCTATGTTTATCAATAATTCACAAATTGTTAAAAGTACAAAACATAAAACGTTAATTTTTCAGAGTTTTGGTTTGAAATTTTATTAGAAAGCATTGACTTCCAGTAAAAAATTCACCACAGATGTCGCATATCCACCGGCAAGTTAATCCAACAGCTGAGCCAAATAAAATTTATTATTATTATTATTATTGCCATGTCTGGTGCACTAATTATAATTTTTTTCTTAGATATTTTTCAGAGGTTTTTACAGCGAACACACAGTGTACAAATACACGTGAACCGAGACATCGCACACTTTTTGCATGTGATTGGTGGGTAATTCTTAACATTGGAGCTGGAAACTGCATCAGCAGTGCCAGGCACTAACAATTAGAGCATGGCGGCCTCCAAATATCCATAAATATTAGAAGCAACAAAACAATAAAAAAATTGAATTGAATCCAACAATTATTTTCGAGAACGTGGCCGCACACAAACGTACGGAATGTGGAAGAGATCTGAATAGGCAGTGCAACCTGAGGAAAACAATATTGATGATATTATGCGCTATAAAAATCTTTCCATTCAAACACTGATTTAATGTCCAAGATTTTTATTCAATTTTGTTCTCAATACCCAGTAAAAAAATAAACATTCATTTATTTCTTCAGCCACATTTTATTTAAAATTGCTTTTACGCTCACAATGAATTCTTTTTCGCCTGGCATAACATCCCTTGAAAATTACACTTTCGCTTCTTTACAAACATGCATGCTTAGCTCCCTCGTGTTAGCAGGTGTAAGCAGGATGTCTTGCAATAAAATAGTCTTTGGTTAGTCAGTTTTTCATTCAAACGTTGTAGGCATTTCAATTAAACAATTGAATTGTTATGTTAAAGGAATCATAATATTTTAGAAAATGTATTAAAACATATAACATTGGATATTTTTGAAGCGTGAGTTGAACAGTCACAAATGTTATATTTCCTTTCTTCTCAGTGCAAGTACCTCCGTAGAGCGAGAATTAAAGTTCATTCAATAATTTTGTTGAGAAGTATTGGTGTTGCTTTGTTTTGTCTTTCAATTAATTAATTAATTAATCAAATGTTTTGTTTCTGTTTCAAATAAATATGTTTCATTATTTTGTTTTTTAATAAGCATCTGATAAATAACTGTTAATGATATTATGCAGGTTCGGATTCACTAGCGAACGTGATGTATGAGATGACGTCAGAATGACATCATCAATCTTTGATGCGGTTGACGTTGCATCATCGTTATCAACTATGAAGAATTCCTTCATTCAATCATCAGCCCTGGTGACAAATTTGAATTATTCCTTAATTAAATATAATTATCAGGAACATTTAAATAAGAATGTGAGCGTGGAGCGAGATATCTTCCTGGTTCCCACTGGTCCCATCATAACTCCCATGAACGCCTGCTTCATTCCACTTTTGATACTAACAACGTTCATCGTCAACATTCTCGTCTGCCTCGTTTTGCTCAAGCCACAAATGCGTTCGACGACCAACACCATCCTGACGACAATGGCCATTGCAGACACGTTGACAGGATTGTCGCCCATCCCCTGCTACCTCCACTTCTACACAGCTGGCCACTACAAAGATTGGGTCCCTTACGATTGGTGCTACTTATACTTCTGCCTCATTGATTTTCTTCCAAGCATTTTTCATACAACTTCAATCTGGCTGACCGTCGCTTTGGCCGTTCAACGCTACATCAGCGTCTGCCACACATCAGTCGCTAGGGGACTTTGTAACAGCAGAAACGCGTGCATCGCTGCGTGCTGTCTCTTTGGAGTTGCAACGTTGTCACACATTGGCAGGTTCTTTGAAATGGATTACACCCCGTACGAGATCGAATCAAGGATAGGTAATGTTAAATATGATGGAAAGAGGGAAGGTCATCTTGCTGAGGTGCGTGACAATAGTTACGACAACTCGATGATGACAGATGAGATCTTCTTGCTGAAAAACGATTTCAAAAAGCATAATGGATTGTATCTTCCGACAGCTTCATTATTCAATTTGGATGCAACAAACAACTCCTTTCATTCAAAACTAACAGAATCAATTACATCAACAACAACAACAAAATCTCCGAAAATTCCCATTGTGAAAGCTTGCAAATATGACATCATTAAGGTATTGAAGCCAATCGAGTACACCTACTTCACCATTTATTACTTTTACCGCATACTCTTCATACACTTCATTCCCTGTCTGACGCTCATCATCATCAACGGCCTGCTGTTGAGGACCATGAGGGATGGGCAATCCCGCAGGACCAAGCTGCTTAAGATGAACAGACTGAGCGAATCCAGGAGACTGGCTGAAATGAACAGAACCACGTTGATGTTGATGGTCGTTGTTGCGTTGTTTTTAATCGTAGAGTTTCCAAGTTGTATGCTCTTCGTCATACTGGTCATTAAAAATTCACTGAACTTTCAGCAACTCATCAGTGAAAGTAGTGCCGAAATCGCCACAACTGTTGTCAACCTGTGCATCCTGCTCAGTTACCCGATGAATTTTTTCATCTATTGCGCTATGAGCAATCAATTCAGAGAAGAATTTGTTCAACTGTTCGTCAGACGGTCGCAAGTCGGCTGCAAGTTAACAGGTGGAAACGGAGCAGATGGTGCTACTAGCGCTAGTGTAGGAGCTGTTCATTTGAATAAACTTTTGCCTGCTAAGAATAATGGGAATAAACAATTCATCAGTCAACGTTCTCCTGCCAATGAGTTGACCAATTTGAAAAACGCTGAGTTGATGTACATTCAGGAAGGTGAGGCTGATGGTATTGCAAAAAAGAATGGCAACATTTCAGTCGAAATCATCAAAGAAGAGAACGTAAATAGGCATTCAAACGTTGAGTTGGTAGACAGGGGGAACAGAAGATGCCCTTCGGTCAAACTCCAACAAACTTAACGTCATGAATGATGATGATGAGGCTGGTACAACAAAACTCGACTTCAACTAGGTGCATTGTAGTGCTTACTGTAGGAACAGTGGGGGCAGTGAAAACGGTAGAAGTAGTCTTAATGTCAGGTGAACACTCCGACCGGCCAACATTTTTGAAAGTCTGCAGCAAACACTCGCCGAAAGATTGGTAACAATACAGTGAAGATTTCAGAAACATTTGGACAAATTTTCATTAACTTACTTTTACAATTGATTTGAACAACTGTCACTTGAAAATAATTTAAGATAGAAACGTGTTACAATTTCAAAACAAAATTTTTGTTGTTGCTTTTGTTGTCAACACAAAAAGTGTATATATAAAACGTGTTTTATGAAAAAAAATATGGCTTTTGATATGACTTTGAACCATACAAATAAACGATAAACATCACAAACAAACATTACAGGCAACCAAGGGATATTATTATAAAAGTCACGCGAGAAGCTTGCTGTAAAGCAAGCATGTACTGCAGTAAGGTGCACCTTTGCAGCCAGCTTCCATGCAATCCCATTCAGAATATTATCGTACCTATTCTTCTGTCTGCCTGATTGGACGGACAGACTCGCGTATGTCTTCGACGCTCAACCCGCGTTAACGAGAATGTTTTTTTAATTGCACAGCAAAAACAGCCGAAAGTGAAAAACTGCTAGTAAAACTTTTTTGAGTAAAATTTAAATTGAAGCTCATGCATTTGAAGAGTATAGAGCGTTTTAATTTTTAAAAAACAGTTATCCAATTTTTAATAGCAATAAAATATTTGTGTATCTGTTTGTTCATTCGTTTTTAACAAGTTTATTTATTTATTTATAAACCGCTTTATGTACTCGTGCCTCACATCCTCATTAGTCGCTTGATTAAAAAATGTGGTACTTATTATCACATGCCATTTTATTTAAAGTTTAATCATTTTTAAATGTAACAATTGTACATTATTTTGAATGTTCACGTTGAGCAAATCAACACCAACCTCCAGCTACCAGAAGTTTGTAAGATTATTTACACAGGAGCAAGCAAGCCAGCAGACAGAAATGTGTGATGGTAATTATATTTATTGGTACCTACCAGTAAAATGTTTTTAACGTTGTTATGCACTTGTGAAATTGCAGAATCGTGTTGCAAACGCAAATATATTGCGTGATTATTAGAACGGAAACAACAGTCAGGATTCTTATTGGAATATTCACACATGAGTTCATCAAGGAATGAGTGATGACGTGGTGAGCATACATCGATGAATATACAATGAAGGCACGTAAATCTCACCATAAAAAATGCTGCTGGTCAACAAACATCTCCTTCAAATAACGAAACAACATCTCAAGATGAATAAATAATCAAACTAAGTAATTAAATTGCGAACGGAAGTTGTGACTGTCAAGAAATATTTATTGGCTAACAATAAAATGTGAAACAGATTGAAATAAATGTTGTTGTTATAAACACTGCATTAATAATTGTATAAAATTAAACATTACTGCGCCAATAGTTGAACTAGGCAGATGTAAGCTTGAACATACACGCATGTCTTCCACCGTTTAATTATACAGACAGAGCATGAAATATGACGCAAGTGTGATGTTACTGATTAGCGGTTCTAATGGTCGAAAATGCACGCGGTATTGAATAGTTTTCTTGTTTAAATTCAAGAAAAATTTTGAGCTCTGAGGATTGGCTTCGTTATCACATCTCACTTGCTTTAAAAGTCATTTTTTAAAGTGATTGGATTGAAATACGATGATTCAACGAAAACAAATTGTTGTTACTAAATTGAAATTTACATGATAAAAAAAAATAAATTTTGAAAAATGAAAAGCAGGAAGATAAAATTTTGGTGCATCTGAGCGTCACAATGAGGCTCATCAGGATGGCACATCAGTGCAGAAATAAAAAATGTGATGGATTAAAAAAGTAATTAGTTCAACTTCCCTACAGACGGAATGATGTGGTGTGATGTGGTGTGGTGTGATGTGGTGTGGTTTGGTGTGGTGTGGTGTGATGAGTGGGCTGCTCCAACTACCTACTGGACTACTTTGGAACACATCATGCATGACTTCAACATCTTTACGACATCATTCACAAGATGATCAATTGTCACCAATTATCATTATTATTATTATTGTTGTTGCTGTTGTTTTTGCTGCTGCTGTTGTTGTTGTTGTTGTTGCTGCTGCTGCTGTTGTTGTTGTTGTTGTTGTTGTTGTTGTTGTTGTTGTTGTTATTATTATAATTTACAACAGCATCACCTCATGCTCATTATGACCTAAAGACCAAACATTTCGCGATAGTTCATGAACGACACAGAAGGTCTGTCACCTCTTAACTGCAAGCTGAGCAACAAAAAGCATCGTATAATAAATAATTTTTGATTGAAACTCGATGCAGATGCTCCTAGGAAACACAAGTATATGTATATTGGTTGTTCTCACATATGCTGTACAGTGCGTGTGTGTGCAAGTTTTTTGCATCTTGTGTGTGTGTGTGTCACATGTGTGTGTGTGCGCGTGTGTGTGTGTGTGTGCGCGTGTGGCACATGTGTATATGTGTGCGTGTGTGTTTGTTTGTGTCACATGTGTGTGCGTGCGTGTGTTGGGCGTATGTGGACGTGGATGTCAAATGAGTAGGTAAATGACCGCAATGCATTCCTCCTGGAAATAAACATTAGTTGGAAAATATTTAAGGTCATGAACTTTCCGAAATTGTTACGCAAACGGCGCTACATAAATATAAATATCGTTCATCCCATCGCTGATATCTATATTTTAAATTTTATTAAATTTCAGTCTTCATTCTCATCGGCGTGATTTGAGTGAATTTTGTATCATGATGTTGATGTCAATTATGCTAATGATGATGGTGATGGTGGCGATGATTATGATTATAAGAACGATGATGACGACGATACTGGTAGTAATAATAATAATAATAATAATAATAACAACAACAGTAATAATAACAATGTCAGTCGGAATGTTTTGGCATTGGGAATGTGGCTGGTGTGGCTGTTGACACTGGACTGCCGACATATGACGACATGATCGCTAATGATAGTACGCTAACCAGAAAGTGCATTGCTTAAGAGCTCAAGCCGTTCGTGCAGTTTTCAATTTCGTTCATGTTGAAAAACTGTAGAGCAGAATAAAATTTCATATTCATAAAGTTGTAAGGAATGAGAAAGTTGGGAGTTTGAAAAAAATTTCGTCCGTAGTAAACTGTTGATTTCATTAACGCTGAAGAAACTGTAAACGCATGGATCGTGTTCATGCATGTGTCTATGCAATAATATGAAAACTGCGATGCAATGATTTGTTTATTTTCTTTTTTATTTATATGTTTTATCTATGAAAAAATAAATAATTATATACATACACTTACATATTTTAAGTTATATGTTCAACATAATTGTCTTCTAAACAATAAATACTTTTTCGCTGGATTTTCATTACAGGTTTAACAACTGCGATTGAGAGGTCGACTGCAATTCTCGAAAACGTTTTAGATCGTTCTCCATTCTCTAGAGTGATAGATCGATACCAAGTCTTAAAGTTCATGTGCCCGTGGTAGGGACATTGTGGACGCACCTGCCAGGAACACTCTGCATAGGAATCTTCCGTCCAACTGAGAAACTGTTTTTATTTTCTCATTCCAGATAAAAATTTGTAATTCCAAGTCTTATTCACAAGATAGTTATTTATTAAAATGTTTTATCTTAAAAATTTTAAATATTAAATTACGAAAATTCAATTCAACAATTTTGTATACTTGAACAACAAAGTCAACCAAGTGTTTGTGTGTGTTATTGTGTGAGTGTTTGTGTGTGTGTGTGTCTGCGTGTGTTTGTGAGTGAGTGTGTGATTGAAAATGTTTGTTCGTGAGTGTAGACGTAATTGTGTGTACTTCTGTTTGGCATATCTTTGTTTTTTAAATGCTACTGTATATTTAAACACAAATAAACGTTGAACATACATAATATACCTTGTACATGGTATTGAGTGAACCTGTTTTGTATATTCTTTAAAATACGTTTTCAAAAAATATCTCACATTTGAATGTTTATTAGAGATTTTGAGACTCGAAATAATTTTTGCATTAAAATGTCCCCCAGGGCAGCCACGTTAAGCTTCGGTATTTTCAGTGTGAAAGCATCAGCGGCTTCATCTGTCGCCCGGGAGAATGAAAATATCACCTCGAATAACTTTTGATCCTGAAAATAAAATAAAAATGAAACTTCGTGGAGGCGATTATTTGAGGCTTCAAAATAATGCCACGCCATGCATGTACCAGTTGCCTGTGTTCACCCACTCATAAAAAGACATTTCTCTCGTAGATTTCTCTCATGTTTGAACGGAAAACTTTCATAAAATTTGAAAATTTATTTTTTTTATTTCAAACAGTTAAAATGTTGTCATTAGAGTTTATAACTGTTTACAGCAAAGCAATCTGCATTTGACCTCTTGCCGGCGCACATTTTTTAAACTTCATCGCATCTCGAAGACCTTGTTTGTATATGTTTATGTGTATATGTTTATGTTGTGCTGATTGTGAGGGTGTGTATTTGTTTTTTATGTTCTCGTGTTCGTGTATACCAGCTTGCGAACGTTTGTTTAAGCGTGGGCGAGTTTTTTAATAAATATTT